AGAAAAGAAAAAGAGCAAGCTATGGAGAGGTCCCCATCTAAATTCTGAATCAAGTGTCCAGAAAGCCCTGTAAAGTGCCTGGGAGCGTTCCTACTCCATCTCCCCCTGGGCCATGTCACAAATCTGGCCCAGCATCCCCATCATCTCCTGAGCACCCCACCTTCCTTGGATGCCTGTGACCATCACTCATATCCAGTCGTGTCACCTCCTGACCAAAGCACAGCCATTAGGGACTGTGTGGGTGTCCAAGTTTCTGTCTGTGTGGCCCTGGTACGCATGGAAGGATGTCCCTTCTCAAAAGTGAGAACGCAGAGTGCTGGGTAACCTGCAGGGTCTTTTTACCTTGACAGCTCTTCCCTGACACTTACTCCAGTAGTCCTGTAGATTGGAGGGATCCTCAGAGGTGGGCTTACCAAGATCTAAGCAGCCGAGGAACCCGAGGACAAGTCCTATCACGTGGTACAGAGGCAGGACCGTGTAAACCACATCGTCAGCTGTGGCCCCACACAAGGACAGCATCTTGCTCATCTGCAGTACCCGCTCATGCGTGAGGATGGCTGGCTTCGGGAGGCCTTGAGGTGAAGGCACAGCAAGGGTAAGGTGGTGAAATGACAGCATGGAGAGGGGCCTGACCAGAGGGATGGATCTCCAACAGGCAGGCCTGCACTGGGGTTTGAGGCTGTCAGAGAGCAGTCAAGTATAAGTATTTGAGGTTGGGTTCACAGGCTGAATTTGAACTGAGAGCAGTATGTCAAGACCAAAGGTTTCAGTGGCTGTTTACTGGACACAGGAAGAATTCTGGCATTGATCGTTCAGATTATACTGGGGGTCAGAGTTCAGGCCAAATGTCAAAATCAAGGTGGGGCGCAGTGGCTCATTCCTTTAATCCCAGCATTTTTGGAGCTTGAGGTGGGCAGATCACCTGACGTCAGGAGTTTGAGACCAGCCTGGCCAACTTGGCAAACCCCTATCTCTACTAAAAATACAAAAATTACCCAGGCATGGTGACACATGCCTGTAATCCCAGCTACTCAGGAGGCTGAGGCAGAGAACTGCTTGAACCCGGGAGGTGGAGGTTGCAGTGAGCTGAGATCACGCCACTGCCCTCCAGCCTGGCCGACAGAGCGAGACTCCATCTCAAACAAACAAACAAAAAAACAGAGGGTAAAGTGGTTTCAGAGGTCAACATGGAGGCACAGGTCAAGTGTGGGGTCAGGTCAGCCTGAGTTCAGAGGCTGGTGCCAGGGCTGATGGGCACCCTCACCAGTGGTCCCTGAGGTGTAGATGAAGAGGGCAGGGCTTTGCCGTGTGATTCCAGCACGCAGGTCAGCAGGCACTGGGTGGGAGGGTGCCGCATCCAGGGCCGCTCCCAGAGTCCCCACCCCTGGTGTAGGGGATGTATGGCTGAGGTAGAAGCAGCGGATGTTCTCGGCCTGCAGCTTGGGAAGGATCTCCTCCAGACTCTCCCAGAGGTCTGCAGGGATGGGTCAGAGTAGAAAAAGAGGCAAGGCTTACCTTAGAGGTCACAAGGCAGGATCTGAGACCCACAGACATAGGCAGAGGAGCAGCTGGCAGAGAAAAGCGTCCATGTTGTTTGGTAAAGAATCCCATCGTTAGTTATTTTTGGTCAAAAAGGATTGAAATAGCATTGTGGGAAAATTAACCTCTGGTGACATGTGAACTACTTTCTGCTCATAAGTCTTGATTCTAACTGCCTGTGAAAGTGGGTGGGTGGGAGCAAGGGCCTCTGCCAGTCCCAGCAGGACCCCTGTCTTATGGCCCCAGCCCTCGCCCCCTTCCATCCCCCACTGGCTCCAAGGCCCTCACCTGGGTCAACCACGAGCACCCGGGCCCCAGAACTCAGCACAGAGTGCACCAGGGGTGTCCCCCGGCCATGTGGGTTGATCCAGGCTGTTGGGCAGCCCAGCTTAGCCAGCCCGAGCCACACACACAGGGCTGGAACGGCCTGGGAACCCAGCACCAGAAGGGCAGCAGGCTCCCTGGCACGCAGGCTCGCAGGGCCACCCAGCTCAGTCTTCAGGGCCCATGCCGCCCGGCAGGCCCGGGCTTCCAGCTCGCCGAGAGTGACTGCGCCGGCCCCAGGCCCAGTCCACACCAAGATTGCCTTGCCAGGCTGTGCTTGTGCTCGTCGCTCGAAGGCATCTACAAAGGTATAAGGCGGCTGTCGGCCTAAGCATGCCCTGACATTCAGGCCCAGGTGGAGGATCTTGGCCAAGAAGACCACATCAGCCGGCAGCCAGCGTAGCCCCGGGGGCAGCCGTGCTGGCAGCAAGGTTAGTGCCAGGGCCGCAGCTGCCAGGCTCAGCCCATGGGACACCCAGGGGCTGAACCAGGGCCGTGCTAGCATGGCCAGGCCAAGTAGCGCGCAGCACGCAGGATCCCCCAGGAGCCAGCGCAGGGCCACGGCCATAGCCACTGGCCACACTGGCTGCCCCAGGCCCCAGAGCAGGAGCAGCAGCAGCAGCAGCAAAGCCAATCGTCGCCTGACACCCATGGTACCAGCTCCTCCACAGGAGCAGCAGCTGTCGAATGTTCAGGATCACCCCTGGCTTCTGAGTAGCACAATGGCTCCTCCCCAGGGGTGGTGGCCCTGGCACTGCTGACAGTGGCTGCTCATCTCCCTAGGACTTTGCCCCCCGCCCTTCTCTACATGTTTGTTTGCTCTGCATGGTCTTGTGTATGGCTCCAGCCCCTCTCTGCCTGCTTGCCACCCTCATCAGCCTGAGGCGGGAGATAGGAGCAGGAAAACAGATTTTCCTTCTTAGGTAGAAGCAAACTTCCCTGAGACCTTACCCCTTCCCGTGGAACTGCTCTGCAAGTTTCATAAGTTTATAGATTCTTGTATTCTTATTCTCTATAGCTGATAACTGTAAGTTTCTGTTTTCCATATGAGCAATGCAGGTCAGTGTGTGTGACATGTCTAAGCAGGCCTGGATTGCAGCCATCCAGGCCCCATAGCGAAGGATGCAAGATAAGCCGTGCAACCGAGATACAGGTCATCTGGGCCGCACAGCAAGTCACGTGTAAGCTTGAGTTATAAACCTGTCATTGTTTGATGAATTGCCTTTGTTCTGCTCCTGCATTTTGTGTATAAAAGCCAAGCCCTATCTTCGTTCGACGCTCCGTTTTTGGGATTTTTTTTTTTTTTTTTTGAGACAGAGTTTCACTCTTGTTGCCCAGGCTGGAGTGCAATGGCGCCATCTTGGCTCACCATAACCTCTGCCTCATGGGTTCAAGTGATTCTTCTGCCTCAGCCTCCTGGGTAGCTGGTGTTACAGGCATGTGCCACCATACCCCAGCTAATTTTTTATTTTTAGTAGAGACGGGGTTTCTCCATGTTGGTCAGGCTGGTCTTGAACTCACAACCTCAGGCGATCCGCTCACCTCGGCCTCCCCAAATGCTGGGATTACAGGTGTGAGCCAACGTGCCCGGCCTGGGATGCCAATCAGCCGAGCAGGTGTGCACCTTAATAAAATCCTCCTGTTTCACCAATTGGTCTCTCTAGGCTCCTGATTCCCACAACAAGCCCCCTCCTTCTTTGCCAGGTGTGACCCCTTTCCATCACTGGCCTCTGGGCTCCCAGGTCTCTGCCCCTTGGGCCCCACCACTAGCCTCCTTCCTGCTGTTCTGCCTGCCCCATGCCCCCTCCAGGGCTGGCATCTGCTTCCCTTCCCTCCCCTCCTGTCCCTTCTGTGTACCAGGCACCCAGAGCACAGAAATCCCTGCCCTTGGGAAAACTCCAATCAGGCTAAACAAAAGCAACAGGACAGCAAGGTGGACCCCTCCCCAAGCACAGCCTTTCTCACTGGGAGGTCCTCCTGTGGCACCCACTTAACCCTTGGGGAGAGGGACTCAGCCAGGCTTAGCCCCTTGTCCCATGATGCCAGGAATTGTAGCCTCCTGCCAGGCATACAGCAAGTGGTCAGTAAACAGAGGAACACTTGCATTGCCTGGATTCAAACCCAGCTCTGCCCCCGACCCATGTGCTGGCTCTGTGACTCTCTGCCCCACCTCTGGCTTTGATGAAGATGGAGTCCTGGGATTCAGGAGACTGAACTCTGCCCATGATGCACAGTTGGATCGTCAAAGCCCTGGTCTCTTTTTTTTTTTTTTTTTCTTTGAGACGGAGTTTCACTCATGTTACCCAGGCTGGAGTGCAATGGCGCGATCTCGGCTCATCGCAACCTCCGCCTCCTGGGTTCAGGCAATTCTGCCTCAGCCTCCTGGGTAGCTGGGATTACAGGCACGCACCACCATGCCCAGCTAATCATTTGTATTTTTAGTAGAGACGGGGTTTCACCATGTTGACCAGGATGGTCTCGATCTCTTGACCTCGTGATCCACCCGTCTCGGCCTCCCAAAGTGCTGGGATTACAGGCTTGAGCCACCGCGCCCGGCCAAAGCCCTGGTCTCTCATGTCTAGGAGGCAGTCTCAGAAGGTCAACCCAGAGGAGCTGCCATTGGCCTAGGAGTCTGGCAGGTCAGGCTGGGGCATGGCCCTCCAGGCCGCACCCCACTCCACCAGCTCCAAATCCTTAGGGCAGGGGACCTGGGCTAGGAGCCACTAATGGCTGAAGAAGGGTGGGGGCAGAGTGGCTGCTCTCTGCACTGGATGCAGGAGCCTGGGACATTGGCTGGCCACTAGCGGTGGTGTCCCCAACTGCCCTTGGGCTCCCCACAAGTAAGGTGCTCAGCCATATCCATCAGAGTCGGGGAGGGGAAGCCCACCTCAGATGTGGCCTGCCTGTCTTCCTCCCCACAGGACCAAGGGCTTCAACAGAACCAGGTCCCGGTTATGTATGCAGCGCACCCTATCCTCTACAGAATAGAAGTCCGAGATGGCAAAGTCATCCTGTCCCTGCCCAGGAGAGCCTGTGGGTGGCATGGATGCCGCCCAAGAACAGGGACACTAAGTAAGCCCTGACACCCACAGCTTGTCTATGAGGGTAAGGGGCGCACTGATCCAGGTGCTCACAGCTTCGTGGTTTAGGCCCCATGGCCTACAGTCCTTTATTTGAGTGAGGGTCCCGAGGCCCAGCCTTCATATATGATGGGTCCACTTGATCCTCCTTAGGTGCCCCATGAGGGAGTGATAGCTTGAGTACGGAGCCAGGGACCTCACCCAGCCCAACAGTGGGGCAGGGCCCTGGACTCAGCCCCAACCCCACCCAGAAGAGGGCGGGGCGAGAACCGGGAGTCAAATCTTGGGCCGGGTCCAAGGGCCTGAGCGACTGGTTTAGGCTGAAAATGGTCTAGTTCTCAGAGGTGGTTTGGTACCTAACCAGTCCCAGTTCCAGCCCGGCACCACCTGGAAGGTTCAAGTACGTGGAGAGGAGTAAGGCAGACTTGGGCCCTGGTATGGAGAAAGGGGTGAAGGGAGAGAGACGATCTGGGTTCAGAAGGGAGCGTGGCCTAGTGGCGGGAACCACGCGTCCCGCAGCGGGCGTGGGCGATTGTGCCAGAGGCCGCGGATCCACCGTGGGCGAGGCCAGGCCCAGCCCCATCAAGGCGCAGGGTGTGCGGCCAGGTGGCGCTCCAGCAGTGCGCGGTGCGAGAAGACCTTGCCGCAGGCAGGGCAGGGTGCGCGCTCTGGCCGGTGAGTGCGCATGTGCACGTTGAGCGAGCTCTTCTGCGTGAAACGTTTGGCGCAGACGGCGCACTGGAAGGCGCGCACGCCGGTGTGCGTGACCATGTGCTTGAGCAGGTAATCACGCAGCGAGAACGATCGCCAGCACACGGCGCACTGGTGCGGCTTCTCCCCTGAGGACGACAGGGCGGGCCGCAAACGCAAGTCAGACTCTACAGCTCCCTCCCCAATCCCACCCCACCCCCACCCCGGGCGCCTGGACCTGGCAGGGGCTCCCCTCCACTCCCCAACCACCACCCTGGCACCCTTTGTCTGTCAGGGAACCCTCCCCTCACTATGGGATCTTCCTGTCCAGCAGGGACACCCCCTCCTCTCCAGGACCTCCCTTCACGTTCGGGCTTTCCCACCCTTTCCTGGCAGAGACTCCCTTTCTGTCATCCTGGGACAGGACTGACAGGGCTCCCCTAAATCCAGCAAGTACCCTGCCAGCAGGGAACCCAGCCTGTCTGGAACACTTGCCCATCTGGACTGCCCACTGGGATCTCCTCTACCCTCAGGGACCCTCCACCTCAACCCCCACCCATCTGGCACAGGGAGCCACTCGGCCTGGCCCCCCTCACCCATGCCCATAGAGCCTTCTAAACTCAGTCTGACAAGGCCAGTGCCCTTTCATAAGGAGGGACCTGGCCATATCTGCCGCTTTCCTGGGGGAAACCGCCGTTGCCCAGAACCCCTGCCTGCTAGCCACTATAATGTCCTTGGTGTGGTAGAGCTCCTCATTCTGGGTTAGGGGAGGAGAGGCAACTTGGGTCTGTCCCTAGATTCATCAGGTGTTAACAAAGTGCCTATCTCAACTAGGCACGATGGCTCTCACCTGTAATCCCAGCACTTCGGAGGCTGAGGCGGGCAATCGCTTGAGGCCAGGAGTTCCACACCAGACTGGCCAACATGGCGAAACCCCATCTCTACTAAAAATACAACAATTAGCTGGGTGTGGTGGTGCACGCCTGTAATCCCAGCTACTCGGGAAGCTGAGGCATGAGAATCACTTGAACCTGGGAGGCAGAGGTTGCAGTGAGCCAAGATCGCACCACTGCACTCCAGCCTGGGCAACAGAGCAAGACTTGGTCTCTCAAAACAAAAAATCCCTCTCTCAGTGGCAGAGGACTTAAAGACAATGCCTGCCAGGGGGTCCTCCAGACTAACCAGGCCCAGGCATCTGGCTTAGATCACACATCACCCTACTCCCTTATTTGCAGGCCCCTGGCTTCTCCCCATCGTCCCCAAGGCAGCCAGAGGTGATTTTAAACTGACATCTCAGTCACTCCCCAGGTGAGACCACCATGGCTTCCCCACCGCTCACAGGAAATCCCAAGTTCCAGCCCCTGAAGAAACCCCCCTCACTCCCACTGTGGTCTTCCAGCCAAATTTTTGCTTTTTCTGACAATGCCCAGCAGGCTTCTGCTTTCCATTCGTTTGTCCTCCGTCTCAGCCCCCAGGGAGCATGCCTACCACATTCCGCAGTACCATCCTCACACTCCTTACCTCTCCGACAGCCCTGCAGAGCAGCCTCCCTGACACAGCCAAGGTCTGAGGGAACCTCCCCACAGCTTTCGGGGCCTGTTCACTGCAGTTGAGGGGTCCCCACACTGCAGCCATGTTTTCCTTCTCCTGCCCCAATCTCAAGAGTTCCTGGGGCCTTCATCCTGCCACCTCTCTAAGGGATTTCTACCATGGCCCAGTAAGTCCACCCTCCCTTTCTGCCAGCTCACAACGGGACTGCTGGCAACCAGAGAGACACAGGAGGCTCCTTGGGAGCATAGTTTCCCAGCCTGGCCAGGACCCCCTGCCAAGGCTCCATCCCCATCACGTGCATCCCAGACTGCTAAAGGCTCCACCACCACCCTTCTGAATGCTAGGATAGGCTCCTGCTTCCCAACCCAGCCTCAGGATCCCCCTCCACAGAAGCCACTGCCCACTGTTGCAACATAGCGGGGCTTTCCCCTCCCCGACATGCCTTGCACTTGGGGGAAGTCTCAATTTCCAGACCCCCTGCTACCCAAAAGTAACAGAACAGTGCCAATGCCCTGTACCTAGTGCTCAGTTCCCCCTCAGGTTTAACTCCAATGAGAGATTGATTGCTCCCTCTCCTCTCCCGCCCTGGCTCACCCGAGTGGATGAACATGTGCTTGGTGTAGTTTTTCCGGGAGCTGAACGTCTTTCGACAGTGGCTGCACTCATAGGCAGGTGGCTCGGCACCTGGGGTGCGAACAGGGGTGCCTGAGGGGGCTGTGGTGGGAGCAGCAGAGGGAGCTGGGGCCTCCCCCAGCTGAGTGCTGGGTGCTGCCTCCGGCTGGAGTGTGGAGTAGAAGGTGGGTGGGGGCGCAGGGGCTGGCCCCGATGGTGCTGAAGGGGGTGGTGCAGGTGGCCCAGGAGCACCCAAGTGAAAGGGAAAGAGTGCGACGGGTGGCCCTGGGGTCTTCACACCAGGTGGGCGGGGTCCAGCCAGTATGCAGTCGGGCTGGACAGGGGTCTCGGTTGGACAGCCTTCAGGGACAGCGCCATCCTCTTCATGCCAAGTGGATACATAGCTGTCTGGAAATACATCTTCAGCTGCCCCAGCTCCCCGAAGAAAATCCCTCCCAGCACCACTGTAGTCAGCTAGGCCAGTGGGTGCAGGGGGCTCCTCACACGCGCTGTCAGCAGCAGCAGTGAGGAAGCTGGCAGCACAGTCTGGGAAGGAAGGAGGTGCCTGGCCCTCACCCGGGCCGCCACCTTCGCCGTCCTCGCCATCGGTCTCATCGTCAGTTTCCTCGTCATCGTCATCACCTCGGTCGTCAGGGGCCGCAGACAGTGAGGTGTCAGCATCAGGCCCTTCGGCCTTGGCAGGTGTCGGGGGAGCAGGCAGCTGCAAACGCGCTGGCTGGCGCTGCTTACGGCTGTGCGCGACACCAGGATGCCCCGGGGGACGCGCAGCCAGCAGGTGGCGCAGGCGGTGACGAAGCTGCGCAGGTGCGAGTGGCGGGGGCACAGGAGTGGGCAGGGGCGCGGGTGCAGAGGTGCCCGGGGCTCGAGCGCGTGCGATAATTTGCGTGCATTCGTCGATCACCGTCTGTATGCGAAGCACCGACGCAGCCGTTAGCACCTGCAGAGCTTCACCCTGTGCCACAACAAGCGAACCGCTGTACAAGAACTCGACTAGCTGTCGCACCGTCTGCGCGGGCACCACCGGAGGCACACGGATCTCTGAGTGGCCCAGCAGCAGCTTGTCTTGGAAGAAGGGCGAGCCCGCTGCCAGTACGCAGCGGTGGGCACGGAGCGAAGCTTCACGAATGCGCACAGTCACATCGCAGAAGTGCCCACCCAGCCTCTGCCCATTGAGGGTCTCCAGCAGAGAGCGTGAGAAGTTCTGCAGGTGTATGTGGTGCACAGCCTCTGCAGCCGCCATCTGCACAAAATAAGAGGGGGGCAGGGAGAGGTCAACTGAGGACCCTCCTCTGTCCCAAAGTCCCTTTCCCCTCCCTCCTTATTGCAGGACAGGACTCAAGAGTGCACCACACTCCCAGGCCTCCCCAACCCATCCTTCCCCAGCTGCCTTTCACAGCTCCCATTCTCAACACAGGACACTCCAGCACTCCCCCCTCCCCCAGCTCAGCCCTGGCTAGACCCTCTACAATCCCCCACCACCACGCAAAGCCTAGCACACCCCTAGGAGAGGGTATTGGGGATATGAGAGATCTCCCCTCTCCTGGCCTCGCTCGCTGCCCCCAAAAACGTTCACGGCTTGGCCTACTCTATCTTGACTTACCCACCCACCCCACCCCGATTCCAATAACCCTAAGCCTTCCCATGTGCTCTTCCAAGAGGGCAGCCCTGTGTGTAGAAGAGGCCAGGGACCCCCATCCCAGCTGGCTAATCTGCCTCACCCAGAGTAGACCTTGCTCTCTACCCGGCTAGCTTCCCCTCCTCCTCCACCCCTGCTGGCAGCTCCATTTGTTTTCCTTTAGCCACATCCCCCAACATGACACCCTGTGCACATGCAGGACTGCTGCCTCAGGAGGTCACCTTAACTAGTATATAGAGGCTTTTGCAGGAGTGGGATGGCACGACCTGCTTCCTGGGCAGAGTGGTTCTGGATATGCCTGGTCACTAAGGGCTGAGGGTAAAAGGTTGGACATTACCTTGGCAGATGTCCCAGGGAAACCAGTACATGGTCCCTGGCAGACCCTAGCATAGCAGGCAGGGAGGTGCCTCCCACAGCCCCAGCTTTCTTGCCAGCTCGATGGAACCTGTGGGGCCCAGAGTGTGGGTGTGGCACAGAGAGAGGAAGTGTGGAATGAGCAGGGTGTGTGACTGGAAAGGTAATGGAGCAAGCGGGGACACGGCCCAGCATCGGGCACCAGAAAGGGGCGGGAGTAGTCCTCAGAGGACGCTGGAATCTGAAGAGCTCTGCTACTCCTTCCATCAAGCAGGTAAACCCGGGGTCCTTCGACCTGTTTCCCCTTCTCTCAAACAAGGGATGAGAGATTCGGCTCATCCCGCACCCAGATTGCTCACACCTCCGGTCTAAGGGAGAAGAGTAGGAGCTCTGGACTGTGACATCCGTATAGGATCCACCAGCCTGTCTCTCCCTTGGGGTCACAAAGCCCCAGAGTGGGCTCGGCTTGATGCTGCCCCTACACCCTCGGGCTCTACTGGGGTCTCAACATTCAACCCCTCTGCCTCCTTATGCCCAGTCCGCCGTCCCTCTGCTCAGCCAGACGCCTCCCTTTCTTGCATGCCCATCTGACCCTCGGACCCCTGGGAGCACCTCCACTGCGCGCTTCCCGCCGTCCCGGACGGATGAAGAAACGCGGCTGGTCCCTCGGCGCCCTCGCCTCCCTGTCATTCTCCACACGGCGGCCAGAGGGCGCCCTTCCAGACTGCGGATCCGGACACAGCACCCCGCCCGGAGCGCCCCGTACAATGCCCCAGAAAAGCCAGGCCTGTGCCCTGCAAAGACGAACTCGGCAGGCAGCACCGCGCCGTCCATGTTCACCTGGCGCCTGAGCGGCTCCTAATCCGCGTCCGGGCGATGGGGACGGAGACTTGCGCATCAACCGCGGGCCTGGATCCCTCCTTTCCCGTCCCGCCCCCGGCGGGCTGAGTCCTCAGTCCCGGCCCTGCAAGGCCCGCCTGGACACGGCAGAACAAAGGCCCGCCCTCGGACCCGGCGCCGCACTCCCGCCACGCGTTCGCCGCGCTGTGTGCTTTCCTCCGAGCGCGCTCTCCCACACTCCGCCCCACCGCCTGCGCCCCACCTAAGCCCGAAGCACCCCTGTGACCCCGCGGCCGCCCCCGCCCTCGATCGCGCCGTACCCCGGTCCTGCAGCGCCCCCTCGCGTTCGCAGCGTGCGCGCCACACGGAGCGCAGGTGCCTCTCCCCTGGCCCGCCCCAGCCTCCTCCGCAGCCCTGTGGCAGGGGGTGCCCGTCCGACACCTCTTCAGGCACCAGGCCCGGCCGTGGCCACCGACTCCAAGGCCGCACTTCCGGGCCGCGACGCCGACGGAACCGAAGCCCGCGGCCGCGGCGGCGCTGGGGAGACCCTAGGCCGGAGCACGTTTCCGGTATTTCTATGGCGATCAGCTCCCGCCAGTCCGCACTGCGGCTCTCCTCTTAGTCGGAACCGAAATCGAAGGGGCTGGGGCTGCCGCGACGCGAGGAGTCTCTGGACCGGAGCACTCTTCCGGCGTCGCCCAGGAGATCGTGCGTGTGGCGGGGCCTGCGCGGTCACTCCGCGAACGCCCTGTGATGGAGAACCAGAAGGCAGTTCGCGGCGCAAGTCACCAACCTCTTCCGGCCAGTTTAAACCCCACTGCGAACCGGGGAAGCGGCCTTATTCCCGTGACACGGGTGAGAGCTGAATTTAGGTCTCGCTCCCTGGCCGTCAGGAGGCGCAGACGAGCTACTCCTACCACACACAGTCCCTCCAGGCCAGCCCGCTGTGGGTGGGATAGGGGAGCAGACCCCCACCTCGGCCTTGGCACCTTCTGCTACAACGCAGACAGGAACAGACAACTGCTTCACCCTGCTCTGTGTCTCCCTTGAGCTAGACCTTGTGAGATTCTGGGACATTGCAAGTTAATCTGGTATGGGGGACAGAATTCTGACAATGGCCGCCTCCAAGATTCCGTGCCCAAATCCCCAGAACCTGTAAATAGGATCATCTCACCTATGAATAGTTACACTACACGGTGAAAGGGTTTTTGCAGACAAGTCTAATAATTAAGGTTAATCATTGGCTGATCTTAAAACAGGAAGTAGGAGAGGGTTCCAGAGGCTTTCAAAGTAGAGAGGTCCATGAGAGGGAATGCAACAGCCAGCAACAAAACAGACCTCAGTCCTAGAAGTGCATGGAACTAGATTCTGCCCACAACCGGAATGAGCTTGGAAGCAAGTTATTCTCCAGAGCCTCCAGATAGCAGCTCAGTCCATCCCACACCTTGATTTCAGCCTTTATGAGACCCACAGAAGACCTGCTTGGGCTTCTGACCTATGTAATGGTGAGCTAATAATTGGATATTGTTTTAACCGTCGGAGTTTCTGGTAGTTTGTTACAGTAACAATATAAAACAAATACATCTGCTGAGACCCAGGGCCTCCACACAGAGTCCAATAAATGCCACTATTTGTTTCCCATCTGATGAACGCATTCCTCACATTTCCCACTTGCTGAAAGCTTCATTTCTGTGCCTTCCCAGCCTTTTTCAGGCCACTTCGTGATCTCATTCCTCAGGGAGCAGTTCTCACTTCCCCTATCTCAGAGGACAGAGGGGACTCAGGAGTGAAAGAGGGAACCAACTGTCCAAATGCATGACTAGAACAAAGCCTCCAGAAGAGAGACAAGGTCAGGATGCCTGTCCCTCACCCAGGGCAACTACTGGGTTGCTGTGTTATAGATGTGGTATTTGGAGGTCGGGGGAGGAAAATATGTGCCAGGTGGGAAACCTCATTAAAATACAAGTCTAATAGCCAGCCATCATTGTCTTTTTTCAGACTCACACCATGGCCTTCTGGGCCCACTAAGTCTGCTTTCACTGGGCTGAGTTTTGGGAAGAGCATAGGGTAGTTGGGAAGGTGTACGTGAGGGCTTTGAGGAGGGAGGGTGGCCCTCTCTTGGGCAAGACAGATGAGTGAACCTTGGGCTGAGTAGCAGGATTGCAGTGTGTTGAGGGAGGGAAAGCTATGTCCCATTAGCATGTTTAAAGGGCTGTAGGGAAGACAGTGCACCTGGTGGGGTGGCAAATGCAGGAGTCCTAGTAGGAAACAATAGCTGCTCTGACAGCAGGGAAGAGCAGAAAGGAACAGATTCAGGGTAGGAAAGAGATGACACAGGTGGCTTTATTTTTTATTTATTTGTTTTTTTGAGACAGAGTCTCCTCTCTGTGGTCCATGCTGGAGTGCAGTGGTGCGATCTCTGCTCACTGCAACCTCCACCTCCCAGGTTCACGTGATACTCCTGCCTCAGCCTCCCTAGTAGCTGGGATTACAGGCACACACCACCACGCCTGGCTGATTTTTGTATTTTTAGTAGAGACAAGTTTTCACCATGTTGGTCAGGATGTTCTCGAATTCCTGATCTCGTGATCTGCCCATCTCAGCCTCCCAAAGTGTTAGGATTACAGGCGTGAGCCATAGCGCCGGACATCAGTGGCTTTAGAGGAAGTCTCAGCCCCAAGGGATGGGGCCTGGAGGATTAGGGCAAGATAGGGGTGAAGACCTGGCCCAAGAAGCTCGGAAGGACATAGGAAGAAGAAGCCCAGACCCTGACCTTTCTCAGGCAGCCAAGGGAGGTGAGAGCCTCAAGTTATTTTGCTTTTCTCTTTTAAGATCATACTATATCTGGCATTTCTCCCCATGTTATCCCTCCCCACCCCCCACTGTCTCTCCCCTACCCCACCAACAGCCCCTAGTGTGTGATGCTACTCTCCCTGAGTCCACATGTTCTCATTGTTCAACACCCACCTATGAATGAGAACATGCAGTGTTTGGCTTTCTGTTCTTGTGTCAGTTTGCTGAGAATGATGGTTTCCAGATTCATCCAAGTCCCTACAAAGGACAGGAACTCATCGTTTTTTTTTTTTTTTTTTTTTTTTTGAGAGACGGAGTTTTGCTCATGTTACCCAGGCTGGAGTGCAATGGCGCGATCTCGGCTCACCGCAACCTCCACCTCCTGGGTTCAGGCAATTCTCCTGCCTCAGCCTCCTGAGTAGCTGGGATTACAGGCACGCACCACCATGCCCAGCTAATTTTTTGTATTTTTAGTAGAGACAGGGTTTCACCATGTTGACCAGGATGGTCTCGATCTCTTGACCTGGTGATCCACCCGCCTCGGCCTCCCAAAGTGCTGGGATTACAGGCTTGAGCCACCGCGCCCGGCCTCATCGTTTTTTATAGCTGCATAGTGCTCCATGGTGTATATGTGCCACATTTTCTTTGCCCAGTCTATCATTGACGGGCATTTGGGTTGTTCTCTCTAAAGATCTTATCACAAGGCTGGGTGTGGTGGCTCATGCCTGTAATCTCATAATCTCAGCCCTTTGAGAGGCTGAGGCAGGCAGATCTCCTGAGGTCAGGAGTTTGAGACCAGCCTGGCCAACATGGTGAAATCCCGTCTCTACTAAAAATAAGAAAAATTGGGCAGGTGTGGTGGCTCACACCTGTAATCCCAACAGTTTGGGAGACCAAGGCGGGTGGATCACATGAGTTTGAGACTAGCCTGGCCAACATGATGAAACCTTGTCTCTACTAAAATTACAAAAATTAGCTGGGTATGGTGGTGGGCACCTGTAATCCCAGCTGCTTGGGAGGCTGAGGCAGGAGACTTGCTTCAACCCAGGAGGCAGAGGTTGCAGTGAACCGAAATTGCGCCATTGTACTCCAGCCTGGGCAACAAGAACAAGACTCCATCTTAAAAAATAAATAAATACAAAAATTAGCCAGGTGTGGTGGTGGGTGCCTGTAGTCCCAGCTACTTGGGAGGCTGAGGCAGGAGGATTCCTTGAACCCAGGAGGCAGAGGTTGCAGTGAGCCAAGATCATGCCACTGCACTCCAGCCTGGGAGACTCCGCCTCAAAAAGCATATATATCTGTGTGTGTGTGTATGTGTGTGTATGTATATACATATGAACCCAAATACTTTATCACTGATTGTGGGGCATTTTAAGGAATAAACCTGTACCTGAGAACACAGGTTTAATAAGCTAGGGAGGGGGCAATGTGGCCTGCAAATATTAAAAACTCCAGGCTAAGCCTAAGGCCTGAGATGGGAAATGGCTGGCCATTGAGGGAAGACTGTGTGAGAGCACAGTGACCACAGATGTGAAGGGAGCAGAAGAAACTGAGCTCCAGGGTGACTGGGCCTCCTCAGCTGGCTAAGGCAGGGCCCCTCTGACAGCATGGGTCACAGAACAGACAGCTCCCACCAAGGAGTCTTCCAGGACCTCAGCTGTGCATGATTCCATCTCAGTCAGGGTCCCAACCTCCCTCCCTTCTCCATCCCTTCCAGGCCAGCTTTTCATCCAGGCTTCCCCTCTGTGGCAGTCACACTCAAGTCCCTGTGTCCACAAACCCGGCCACATCCTAGTTGGTTTGGATTGTGCCAGGTGTGGAATACAGGTCCCATGATCCATGCCCAGTGGTTGTGGGGGCATTTCAAATACTAAATGAGTATACCCAGGAGCAGGCACTAGGCATATACCTGCAGAAATCCTTCCTGGTACAAGGCAGATAGAAGTAGAGGCTAAGGAGTGGTCCCTAGAAAGGCAAATAGCAAGCAGTTAAGATCTTAAAACACTTGCTCTGAATAAGAGACCTCCTAAGCAGGCTTTGTAAGCAACAAGGCTGTTTATTCACCCAGGTGTGAGTGGGCTGAGGTCCAAAAAGAGAGTCAGCTCAGGGGCGTGGGGTAGGAGTTGATATTATAGATTTGGGGTAGGCAGTGGAAAGTTACAGAAGTTACAGTTCAGGGTGGTTTTTGCAAGCTGGGAGGGGTTCATAGGGTCTGGAGTCAGGAGGTTGACCAAGGTCATTACTAAGCCCAGTTGACTTATCAGTCGGGATGCGAATAAGGAACAGGAGAAGAATGTCTCAAAGTTAATTGGGTGCCACAGGGGTTGGTCATTCTTCCCTTTTGTGGTTTTCCAGTTACTTCAGACTTTCTATTTCCAGGAACTCATCTGGAGGTGTATGTGCAGGTCACAGAGGTTACCATGAAGTCCATAGTGCCATCAGTCAGCCTAAAAGAATTTACAGAAGACTCGAGCCCTTCTGATGGGACAGAGAAGACGTGGGAACCGTGTGAGGTGGGGAAGGGGCAGTGGCAGGATCCCTTCTATGCTCCAGAAAGTCCTCTGAGGCTGCAGCTTAGGGAGGGCCTGGAGGGAGGCCCAGCCCCAGGACCTGGTGGAGTTACGGAGGTGGTAGAAGCAATGCGTGGTGCCTTTGGGATTTATCAGAAAAGTAACAGCATCCAGACAGGTATTGAGGGCTATCAACAAAGGCGGTGGGGGTAAAAGAGAAAAGACTTAATGTGCTTTCATATGTAAAATACAAGGAAGAGCCGGGCGCGGTGGCTCAAGCCTGTAATCCCAGCACTTTGGGAGGCCGAGGTGGGTGGATCATGAGGTCAAGAGATCAAGACCATCCTGGTCAACATGGTAAAACCCTGTTTCTACTAAAAAAAATACAAAAAATTAGCTGGGCATGGTGGTGCGTGCCTGTAATCCCAGCTACTCAGGAGGCTGAGGCAGGAGAATTGCCTGAACCCAGGAGGCGGAGGTTGCGGTGAGCCGAGATCATGCCATTGCACTCCAGCCTGGGTAACATGAGCGAAACTCCATCTCAAAAAAAAAAAAAAAAAAAAAAAATACAAGGAAGAATATACTAGGAGTCCTGTGGACAGAGGCCTGAGAACTCAGGAAGGAGACCTAAACTGAAATAATAATCATGACACAACAACCACTGTTGCTTTTCCAGGGTCCCAGCACTTTGACCTGTACTGTGCACTTGGATTGATTTTGAAGAGTTTAAAAAACCCAAACGCGGGCCGGGCGCGGTGGCTCACGCCTGTAATCCCAGCACTTTGGGAGGCCGAGGCGGGTGGATCCCGAGGTCAAGAGATCGAGACCATCCTGGTCAACATGGTGAAACCCCGTCTCTACTAAAAATACAAAAAATCAGCTGGGCATGGTGGCGTGTGCCTGTAATCCCAGCTACTCAGGAGGCTGAGGCAGGAGAATTGCCTGAACCCGGGAGGCGGAGGTTGCGGTGAGCCGAGATCGCGCCATTGCACTCCAGCCTGGGTAACAAGAGCGAAACTCCGTCTCAAAAAAAAAAAAAAAAAAAAAACCCAAACGCTGGGTGTGGTGGCTCATGCCTGTAATCCCAGCACTTTGGGAGGCCAACGCGGGCAGATCACCTGATGTCAGGAGTTCAAGACTAGCTTGACCAGCACCGAAAAACCCCATCTCTACTAAGAAATACAAAAATTAGCTGGGCATGGTGGCAGGCCCCTGTAATCCTGGTTACTAGGAGGACTGAGACAGGAGATCTCTTGAACCTGGGAAGTGGAAATTGCGACAGCCTGGGTGACAGGAGTGAGACTCCATCTCAAAAAAATAAATACATAAATTAAATTAAAAATAAGGCCGGGTGCAGTGGCTCACACCTGTAATCCCAATGCTTTGGGAGGCTGAGATAGGCAGATCACGAGGTCAAGAGATGGAGACCAACCTGGCCAACATATTGAAACCCAGTCTGTACTAAAAATACAAAAATTAGCTGGGACTGGTGGTGCACGCCTATAGTCCCAGCTACTTGGGAGGCTGAG